TGTGGGCCTGGAGTAGTCACTTGTTTACTGTCTAGCCTGAAAAACCTAAAATGTTGGGTTTGGGTGAGAGAGCGTACTCTTTTGAGTTGTCTTTCAGTCCTGCTAAGTTCTCAACACTGAACATCAGAGAAGGTCGGCAAATTCTCAGTGTAGCTCAGATCAGTCTTTTCTGTATTAGAGTCAAAAACATTTTGGCAGTGGTTTGAAGCAAGAATCCTCCTTCAGAGCAGAGTGTTTTTAAAATGCTCTTTACCAGGGCCCGGGTGCAGTAGCCTAGTGGCTAAAGTCCTTGCCTTGCATGTGCCGGGATCCTGTATGGGTGCTGGTTTATGTCCCGGCTGCCTCATTTCCCATCCAGCTTCCTGTTTGTGGCCTGGGAAAGCAGTCAAGGACAGCCCAAAGCCTTGGGATCCTGCACCTGCATGGGGAACCCAGAAGAGGCTCCTGGCTCCTAGCTTTGGATCTGCTCAGTGGCCACTTGGGGAGAGAATTAGAGGATGGAAGATCTTCCTCTCTATCCACCTCTCTATATAAGATTTTCCAGTAATAAATAAATCTTAAAAAAAATGCTCCTTATCGTCAATGTGGAGTGTGCCAGAGAAACCTTTCAGAGGTGAGGTGTCAGTGTGAAGTTAATTCACTTGTAAATAGGTTTAAAAACAGCAGGTTAGTGACTGAGGCAGACTGAGTTCTCCAGAGAATAGCAGTGTCAAGTGTGTGGTTCATGGGACTCATAATTTCCATTAATAGAATAGGGATGCCCCTCTCATTCATCATGTAGATCGACAAAGATGCAACTCAGAAAGAGAGAAAACTCGCAAAATGAAAAGTGTTGAGTCATTTTCTGGGAAACCATGCTACATGTGGTCTGAGCATTGCCATCTCGCATCGTTCTTGTGTCTGGAGTCCCGGCTCTCAATTCACACCATCACCCAGCCTTTCCAGTCTGGAGAGCTCAGTGTTATCTGTAGCTTTTTCTTTTCTTTTCTTACTCTCTAGAAACCAGTTTCTTACTAAATCTCTCAGAAACAGCTCTCAACTCCAGCCATTGTCAATCACAGCACAGTCAATACTTGTCATCCAAGCTACTTAGCAGCTGTAATCTTTTCTTAACTAAATATTACTAATAATAGCAAACAACCAAGCTTACTGTGCGCCCAAAACTTTTCTAAGAGCATTTAATCCTCACTGTATTAGTGTGAGCTAGGCACTTCTGTTATCCGTATTACAGAGCAGGGAATAAATGGAGAACAGAGAGGTTTGGTAACTTGCCTGAGTGGAATTCGGGAGGTCTCTGCTCTAACAGTCCTGCTCTGACAATAAAGCATTCTGCTTCTGTTGTGACTGAATGTATTTTTTGGAATAGGTAATATGCTACCCGATTCAGGATTCAAATGCTGCAGAAGAATACATATAGAAAAAAACTTCCCTTCTGATGTACATCCATACTGCCAAGACTCTGTTCTGAAAGCTAGGGGATGGCCAGACTCTTCCACTACATCCTTAGTAAATGCTCAGACACTATGTCCCTCTCTCTGTCAATATATATAGTCTAATGGATGCAATTTGGCATGCTGCCTTTCCCACTAAACATCAGATATTGATCGTTCCTTATCAGTCTCAAAGGATTCCTTATTTTTCCTTTTTTCTCTAAGGACTGCTGCTGGTTTAAATCAGGGATGGGCAGTTTTCTTGTACAGTAGCAGACAGTCAATACTTTAGGCTTTGAGGTATCTGGGTCTGTCATAAATACTGCTATTGTTTCTTTTTGTTGTTTTAAAAGCCTTTAAAAGTGAAAATAACACTGTCTTGTGGATGGTGCCAGATTAGACTGCCAGCCAGATTTGGCCCACGGTCTGTCATGTGTCTTTCCCTAAACCAACAGTTTTTTTTTTTAAAAAAAGATTTATTTTTTAATTTATATAGGAAAGGCAGGACTATAAAGAGGAGGAGAGAGAGAGAAAGATCTGTCTGCTGGGTCACCCCTCAGGTGGCCACAATGACCAGAGCTAAGTGGATCTGAAGCCAGGAGCTTCTTCTGGGTCTCCCATGCAGGGGCAGAATCCCCCAGGCTTTGAGCCATCCTCAATAGCTTTCCCAGGTCACAGACAGGGACCTGGATGGGGAAAGAGGCAGCTAGGAGAGGAACTGGTGCCCAGACGGATCCTGGCACATGCAATGCAAGGATTTAGTCACTCAGCTATAGCACTGGGCCCAACTGGTTTTCACCTCACCTCCCTGTATCCTTCCAGTCCTTTCCTGTTGTGAAGTCCTTCTTGAGCATCCTACAAAAATGATAAGCCAACTGTAAAAGCAATCTGTGAAAAATGGGTTATTTACTGGATACTGTGATACAGATAGGAGTAAGTTCTGGCATTCTATTGTACAGTAGGGTGGCTGTACAGAGTAATTCTGAAGCATATGTTTTTCTAAGAAAGAAAACCAGAAGAAAGGGTTGTCAATATTTTCACTGGAAGAAGTAATAAAGGTTTGGGAAGTTGTGTATCTTTACCTCATTGAAACATTACTTGGTAACACATAAATATGTACAGTTTTTCTCTATTAGTTAAAAATAAAATAAAAAGATCCAAACAAGTGTGTCTGTTTGTAAGGCTTCCCTCTCTCAGCAAGGTAAGGTTCAGGCTGCTTTGCAGCATATGTGGTGTTCCTCAGTATCCATGCAGTTCTTACCTCCATATCTATTACACTGATCCATGCCACCATGAATACTTCCCTAAGTTCCTGCTGCAACCTTCTCGTCCCACCAGTGCTAAGAACCCTCATCTCCATATCTAATCCTTACACTAAAGTCACAGAGATCTTTTGTGGGTGGAAATCACATCTGAGCATCCAGTGGCTTGTTATTCTAGAAGGAAGCCAACTTCCTGCCCGCTATGCTTTGTTCCTGCTCTCCAACAATATTGCTACTATCTTCCTTTCTTATTTTCTGCTCAAACATATGCATAAAACCTCATTTACTTTCAGTGAGCTCTTTCAGGATGGGGACACCTTGAATGGTATCCAAATGGCAAGTACACACACACATGATAATATCCTGTGGTGGCTAGCTCTGTGTGAAGTGATTTGTGGACATGATATCATGTAACCTTCATGATAACTCTAGCAAAGCAGGCGCTTTTATGATTTGTTCTTTATAGATGAGGAGACTAAAACTCCATGGGGCGAGGTAACTTGTCTCTGAAAGTCTGGAGTGTATCATTAGGTGCCCTGCAGTCAGCCATGGGGGGTGGCTCCTAAAAGCTCTGTTAACTCTTGAGCTCTGGGCATATTTGTCCTGTTTCCTTGCCTTGTAGCCTGGGGACACAATCTGCTCAGAGATGGTCAGCTGGGACTCTCTTGCCTCCGCTATGGCGAAGTCCTCCATTGAAGGGACATAGATGTCCCCTGGGCAGCCAGATGGAGAGGCATAGAGATGAGACTGCCCTCTGCACACAGGTGACTGCCATCCCCAAGGGCAGCCAGATGTCCTTGGGACCTGATGCTGCTGCCCCATGCTGATCAGCCATGTGGGCACAGTTAGTTTTGCCAGCTCAGTCTTAAGCTAATGGGAAGGGACTACAATGTTCAAGGCAGGAGGATGAGGAACCTAGAGAGTAGAGAAAGACAAGGGCAGAAGGAGCTGCAGCATAGTTAACTTTCCTTTTAAGTGAAGATTTTCCCTGATGCTCCTATCAGAAAAAAAGGGCAACAGGTAACAACTAACATACAAATATATACATTTATATAACAACTAACATATATATATATCTCCACCCCCCGCCCCCAAGAAGAATCTAGTACTTCTATTGCAGAAGTTTTTTTGGTTTAAAGGAAAAGAGAGTGCTGGAATATTTTGATTGAAATTTAGCTTCTATTGGTGGGGTACTTTACTCATGTAACTTTCTAGTTCTTTGGGAAAATCTTTTCAAGAGAGTGGGCACCAGGCATTGTGCCAAAGCAGGTTCAGCTATCATTTGAGACACTTGCATCCATATCCAAGTACCACTTCAAATCCTAATTACTCCACTTCTGATCCAGCTTCTTGCTTGTGTATCTGGGAAGCAACAGATGTTGGCTCAAGTACTTGGATCTCTGCCACCAGTATGAGAGATGGATGGAATTCCTGGCTTAGGCTGGCCTGGCCATGTAGGTATAGAGGAGTGAACCAGAACATAAAGATATCTCTCTTTTTGTCTGTCTTTTTTCCCTCTCTTTCTCACTTCTTCCCCTCCTTTTAAGTACATGAAGACAAAAAAAAAATTGACAATTAAAAGGGACTGGACTTGAAACTTTAGGGCAGTGATACTCAAAATGTGATGCGCTAAAATTGCATCATTAACACCCTCTACTAACTAATGCAACCCACTGAGCTACATTTTCTGCAACTATAAAATGGAAAGTTGAATGCTTATACCTTAAGCTGTGAGGTTTAGAAGTGGTAACATGCATAAAGTGTCTACTATAAAATCTTTGGCACAAAATAGGTGCTTGATAAATGTTCGACATGATAACTATTTGGTAGAATAGCTGAGTTATTAGGCCACTGAACAGTGTCTTAGGTCTGAGAGAGTTAACTGCAGCCACAAGGACACAGAAGCCAAAGGAGTGAATCAAGGTATGAGGTTTGTGATTTTTCTGTCATTTGACCCTGACTTTAAAGATGCTGAGAACAGGTCACAGCATGGTAGCTATAGAAATTTATCATAGGTTAAGGATCACTTGGATGCTAATTAAAAACACGGACTTTTTTGGGTGTTGCATCCCAGAAATGTGTCATCAAATCCAGGGCAAAGTTATGTATCTCCATTTTCATCCCCAGGAATTTGTGATGCAGGAGTTCTGCAGCCTGAGGTGAGACCTTGGGATGGATACAGGAAAATTCACAGAGCAGAAACATGAACCGAGCTGGTACTTACTTTGCTGGAAATGGGGCTTTCAAGAAGACCATGCGGTCTGTGCCTCTGTGCTGTGACAGAAGAGTAATAAAGAAAAAGCCATACCTGGGCTTCTGTGACTTCAATGCTGTGGGAGAGATTTCCATTTTGCACAGGTTCTGATGAATCACTGGTTGGTGTCATTTCCACTTCTGTGCTGGTGCTGTTCGGGAGCTCGATTTTTTCTGTGAAGTAATTAAAACACACACACACACACACACACACACACACACACACACACACACACACAGAAAGAGAAAAAGCAAGTGGAATCACTGTTGACAAAGAACAGTATTTAGGGCTGGCATGATGGCTTAACTGGCTAACCCTCTGCCTGCAAGCCCTGGCATCCCACATGGTGTGGGTGCTGGTTTGTGTCCTGGCTGCTCCATTTCCTATCCAGCTATATGATCATGGCCTGGAGAAGCAGTGGAGGATGGCCTAAAGCCTTGGGACTCTGCACCCATGTGGGAGACCAGAAAGAAGCTCTGGGCTCCTGGCTTTGGATTGGCTCAGCTCTGGTCATTGTGATCATTTGGGGAGTGAACCAGTAGATAGAAGATCTTTCTCTCTCTAAGCCTACTTCTCTAAAGAAAGAAATATAGAAAAGGAAAAAGAAAAAGAAAAAGAAAGAAAGAAGACATCCTAAACGTGAAGGGCAAAGGAGAAGGTAGTGGTGTCCAATGTGAGCAAGGGTAGGGCTTGTGCTGAGTCAAAAGAAGAAGGGTTTTACTTTTCTAATCTTTGCCGTCTAGCACACTGTCCTCCTTCTCTCCATTTAACAGTGTTCTGATTTCCATACTGCATTGTGTCTTAACCTGGGTCTCTCAGCTCCCACAGTATGTCTTTTGACTCTAGGCAAAGTTACCACTTTCAACAGCACAAGCACAGATAAAGTGTAAAATCTCAAACCATCCTTAGTCAATATACTATTGTTTAAATCCAGGATTACCACCCTCCAATATTATAGTAGAAAAGTTCTTGGTTAGAACATGAGAGGTCCAGGCTTTGCAATGTAGGCTGTCATCTTGGGCATTTCATCTCTTCCCAGGGATTTCTGCAGCCTTATTTGTGAAGTGAGGGAATTCAACTGGTTGACTTCCATTGCGCATTTCTTTCCACTCTTAATTCTTTCAGGCTGTGTAAGAGGAACACTCTTGTGTGTCTGGGAACCCTGAGGGAGGGCCGGTTTTGGAAAACTGTTTTACCTAAAACACCTGAAGGATACAACTTAATCACATTTCATAGATGGGGCATCCTTAATACAAGCAGGCAAGGCATTTCTTAATGTAGAATAAAGATCAAGGTCTGGTCACTTTTGAATAAGAGAAAATTTCTAGTTAGGAGACATGAGTCTGCACATGCAGATTCAGGTTCTCTTTGAGAGATGAAAGTGACTCAAGATTCATAATTGAACATTGGGACCATGTGGCAGTAGGAATCAGGTGGCCTTGGGTTCATACTTTGGCTCTAGTGCTTATGTTATGTGAGCCTTATCAAGTGACTTGAATTCTCTGAGATTTAATTTCAGTAGTGTGATAAAAACAATATGACTACTTATCTTCATTCTCCTCCTAACAAGGATGACAATATGATCAAAAGGAACTTTTGACCCAGAAAGTGAATATAAAGCACCTGGCAGAGTTCCTTGTATAGAACAAGCAATTGATACAAACTATCCATAGCCTCTTCATAGCACCTGGATTTCACTAGAACAGTTTTTGTTCAAGCTTACAGAAACACCAACCAGTGATTTTTGTTCAGGCCCCACTGTAGTGTTCTAGGACTTCAATGTGAGGGAAGTAAAAAATATCCCCAGGGGAAGCAAATACTCTGATTGTGCTGAGTCAGATCTTGATCTTTAGGAACGAAGGAAGATATGTAGTGCAGTGTTAAGGTTGCTGAGAGTATCAGAAGGTGCCGCAGTATCAGTTAAGAGCAACATCAGGTTATTCGTGGAGTGTGAGAATATGTTTAGTTTTAGCAAGTTTAGAAGGATTATCAATATTTCTATGGATGTCGGTTAAGAAAATAACTTGAGTAACATAAAAATTACTGGGTTTGAGTGGCCAAAGTTTGAAAGCCATAAAAATGTTTACTTTTATATAATTGTGGAATACAGTCATAACTATAAACCTGGGAAACCATATAAACTCAAATTTACATTTTTAGTAGTGATAATGAGATAAAGGTGATGGTCTGCTGTTTACAGCTAAGCCAGTTTATCTTAGGATGCTTGATTCATTTATTTGAACCAAATGATATTGCAATGGGAATATTAAAACTTTGGGTGAGTCTGTTGGCTGAAATAATATCTTAGGCTCAATCAGCAATGGTCACACTTGACCCCAGCAAATAGGTCCTAGTGTGTGAAATGCTATTATTACTCCTCACCAAGCGAAATATGAAAATGAGTCGTAAATTTACCTTGAAAAAACATGAATTTCATGCAGCATTTTTTTGTTTTAGTTACAAAATCATCCAGAGGTCAAATCAACAATAGAAGGATCTTTAGAGTTACTGATTCTATCTCTCACAGAGGATTAAACCTAAGTCTAAGGTTAGCCAATCTTGCAGGACTGGAACCAAACTCAGGCATTTAACTCTTTTACTCTGAGCTTTCTGATCCTATAAGAGAGAAATCAGGTGGAGTAGGAAAAAATGGCTTGTGTAATTTGACCTAAATACCACAAGCAAAACTTTACCTTTGCAAAAACCTTTATGCTATGGCTTTACATTTTATAAAACAAGAGTAAAAGTATGATCACTGAAAAATTTGTACAAATTCACAGAAACAGAAGCAGATAAAAAAATTACATCTATAATTTTCAAGAAGTAACTATTGTCAAGAAGTAACTATTGTGGCCAATCTAGTTGATTTCCTTTCATATTTCCTTTCAAATCCCATTTGAATCTTGACTGTTCCTTGGCCAAAAATTTCCTCTGTGCTGAGTTGGGATAACAGGAGAGGCAGAAACTCTTCTGCAAGTGTCACGCATTTTGAGTGCAATAGTGTTGAATTTTGTCTGAGATAATTTTAGTTACTTGGGCAATAGCCTCGTTTATAGCATAGATCCAGATTAGGTTAAATTTAGTTTGAATTTAGAATTAGAGAACTGTATTATAGTTACAGACAGGAGAGGAGGAACATCATGTTCTAAGTTAAAATAAGATGCCTGAATGTCACAATCTGGTCACATAGGAGTTCTGAAAAAGTCAGCCAAAAGAGACCTGGGTTGATCTTGTTGAAATTGTAAGAAAGGAAAGGCAGCATTGTCGCAAAGGAATTCTGTCACTCAGTTTTGGGACTAAATGGTAACTTAGTGGGTGTGCTGAAAGAAATGTCATCGATATGAAATCTGTTTATCAAATAAGAATTTCAAAAGCACGACTCACACATTTGGTCAAATATTAAATAAGATGTATGCATCTGTGTGTGTTCTTTTCATGTGAAATGCCTGAAAATAAAGCAGTTTTCTGCTTAGGGACTGGTTTAACTTCAGGTTCCTCATAGATCATTTTACTTTCTTTGGACTTGTCCCGGAGAGAATGATGGCATATGGCATTTACTCATGATCTGTATCCACTGAAGGAAGAAGGACCCATTTCGTGCCACCTACGACAAAGTGGAGCTGCAGAGTTGTGTGTCTGCTGTGAGTGAGAGGAGTCAACCCTGGCTCCTGCCTCTCTATTACCCACTTAACCCCCCAGGAATGGAGCGGAGATGAAGGTCTCTCTGAACTCACCCACATGATTGGCAGCCCCATTCTGCCTCTCGTTCTCATCCACTTGGCATTTCTTCTTGGCGATCTTGTGGAGAATGGAAGCCTTTTCTCTGAACCTTCCTGAAGCAAGAGAAAGTGGCAGGAAGTAGACAGATGATCAGGAAGATAAAAGGTTTTGTGGCTAAGGGCAAGCGTTGGCAAGCAGGCAGGTGGCTTCCTCAGCCATGTTTTACTACAGCAGCGGCCACTCTGTTCTGTGAATTGGAATGTGCCATGACCTGCATGAAGGGCATTTTCTTACCTTTGTGGATCCTTCAGCCCAATTTTCTCTTTGAAAGCCTCAAGCTGCTTGATGAAAGATGTGACTTAAACCCTTTCCCTCCCCTTCCAATTGCTTATAAAAGAAACAAAAGCACTAAGTGTCACTAAAGCTTCCCTACTGCTGAGATCCAAAACGTGTTATCCTGTCTAAAAAAAACCAGAGCTGCTCTGGAGGAAGTCATTTCTCTGGAATCAAATGCTCACCCCAGATTAGCTTTTGACAGTAGACTGGGGAGGAAAGCCAAACTTGCAAAGTCCTTTGATGTTACTTTAGGTTTTAGGCATTTGTCATAATCAACATTGCAGTTTCTAAATAAGTCAGGCACAAGCATCACAGCTATCCACATCAGCTCATTAGCTGAACTTAAAGCATTGAGGAGGCAATTGATTCCATCTGGGGTTGTAAGACAAAGAATGATGACCCGAGCACAGCAGATAATATTGTTGATGAGACGCTTTGGGGAAGGTGCTGGAAAAATACCACTCTCAAACTAACCACTTTGAACAACTATGTTACAACTGTAATGCTTCATTTATTCTGTTATTGACATAATTAATAGATAAATACATGCAACAAGCACAGAGAAACAGCATGCAAAAGTGTAGAGATTAGTAGCACATTTGTCTTTTTCAGTTCTTCCTGGAGAACAATGAAGGTCAAAAGATTTTCATTCTAAGGTCACTGCTCCCTACAGTCAGATACGATGAGTTCCTAAAACATCACATCCCTTAGAATTTTCTCTTCAAACTTCTGTTGTTGTTGGCTGTTTACCCTATCAGCATATTAATAGGGATATTAGTCTACTTTTCTAGTTAGAAGCAAATCAAACTGAAGTCTTTTTCTTGGAGTTTTTCTTCCCAGGAATAGACATGGCAGCTGGACATTCACTACCCTTCCCTCCTTGTGGATAGGAATTTTGGTTGGTAGTCCTAGTGGTGATTTGTGTGATGGATTAAGAATGATAGAACCTACAAATTTGAGTCAGGTTGATCTTAGTTGTGAGGTGTCACAATATGGAGCCCCTTTGCCTCACAGTTCCATTAGGCATAAACCTTGACACCTTGCTACCACAAAGGCAAACCCCAGGATATTTGTCGCTTAGTAAAGGAATGAATGCACACCACAGGTGCATACTCTTGAAGAAGGCAGAAAGGGAAACAATATACAAAGAAATGGAGTTTGGTATGTGACTTGGGCTGCATAAGGAATGAGAAAGCAGTATGAAGTGATGGGTGTGGCAATCCTCCCTGAGCAATGTTGAAGATTACCATGAAGTTCATCATCCCGGAAGGCATTTTTGAATTTGGTCATTTCTAGTTAATCTCCAAGGGAAACTGTAAGAAGAAAACAGGAAAGGAAAGAGAACCAAAGGACTAGAGAAAGGAGTTGGTAAAAGAGAACAAGAAAGGAGTAACAGAAGAGAAGAGGAAGGACTAGAAGTAAGGAGGTGGTCTGCAGGGGCCCTGGTTGCGTGGTGGTGTAGATGCAAGTAGCTTATCTGGCTGCCCAACTTGTATCTTGTGAGGACTAGATGAACAAATAATGAATGACCTTCTTCAAACTTAAGCCTGAATAGGGGTTTACTTCTTGTGGAAGACAATGCTCAGAAATCCTCAAATCATGTGATTTTTAGCCCAGAAGAGGGAAAAGGAGGTTTTGACAATATTGGAGATAAACCTTCTATCAATAAAATGATTTTACTGTGGTCTCAGAGTCATTCTTTGGACAAAGAGCATTCTATAGTTCTATGAAATAAGATGATCAATATTTCCCATTTTAAAATTGCATAAAAATTAATAAAGCAGGAAATCATTCTGGAGAGAGAATAAATAAACCTATGGAAATAAAACCTGGCAGATAATGCCCTAAAATCATGAATAACGGCAGAGAAAATACTTGATAAGAACTAATTCCATTTTGTTTGTAGTTCAAGAAAACTTTCAGAACTTGGACTTATACCATAAAGAAACAATATTAAGAGGGACCCAAAAGCATGTCAGGGCACAACCACTCCTTCTGTTAGGAAGTGATTTTTAGAATAGTGTCGGCCACTATTACTCAGGGGCTATTTTCCCCAAACCTTCTGGGAGGGCAGGGAGAAAAAGTAGTAGATAACTGTTGAATGAAGATTTTGTAGGTTCTCAAATATTTTACATGCCAGTGAGGGTTTTCTAGACCATGTGTTATTATATACTAATAATAAAAATATTGTAGCAGATCTTCACATTTTCTACACCACGGAAAAGCAGGTGGGATTAGCTCTATTTTTTTCTAGGACAAACAGGCAAAGTAGTCTAGGCAAGTTGGAGAGCTATCTTCTCTATGAACCTTTTCTATTTTTTTCTGGTTTTGCCTTTTCCCCTCACCATCCTTATCCTAATTATCATTGGGAGTGAACCACTATTTGGTTGTAAGTGTTGACCATGGCTAATCAAATAGCATAAGATGATTTCTCCTTAGAGATTAGTTTCCAGATGAGTTGCAGAGTCTGACAAAACAAAGCGTGCTCATTCCAATACACTGGGCAGCTCTGGAGCCATGACACTGAGAAATGCTGTGAAGATTGAGACTCAGGATAAGAGTGATTAGAAGGTCAATGGGATACTTACCTGGCAAGGGAAATACCATGATCAAGAAGGTCCCTGGTGCAGAAGCCTGCACAGAATCTGTGATTCTCAAATTGACCTTCTGTGCCTTGGGGTAGGAAGGTTTAGCACCTTTAGGACATATTCCTCCCCAAGACATACACTGGGGGAAAATGGAGCAGATTGTGTTTTGGGGCAGTATAGTACTATGCTTAGATGGGTGTGACTTAGAGGCAGGCCAAGGTGAGATCAAGCCCTGGCTGTTTCAATGGTGATGTTTGGTAAGGTCTTGTTCAGTTTTTCCGATCTGTTAAATAGGGATTGTGAAGTAAATGTTAGACTTAAATAAAGAAATATGTGTAAAGGGCTTTTTACAGTGCATGGCCTTGGAAGAATGCTATAAATAAGCGGAAAAAGAGAAATAAGCCAACTAAAGTGCAGGGGGCAGGGGTGACAATGCTCTTAGTTGCTTTAGGAAGATAGTTGTCATTTTCTCTTTATCCACAGATGCAGGAGTGGAGAATCCACCTGCTGCCCTCAGCCCCAGTAGTTTGGGCATCTAGGACCTTGTTGGATTGATGCTCAGGTTTCTGTGAATTCTCCAAAACTTACCTCAAAACCAATTAAGAGAATATCACTTTACATTTTTCTGCAGTTGAGAAGGTCAAGGTGATGGAGCTGGCCTCTTGTTTTAAACATTGACACTTTTCATTCTTAAAGACGGTGATCTGCTTTCTTCCATCACACATAAGGACACAAAGGGAACCAAGAGCTACTGCTTCTGTATAATGGATTTGGATTGACTTTTAAGTACTTTGGGTACTCATTGCTCTTTACCTCTGAGTGTTCAGGTTCGGCATTTATCTTAATAAGATGGCGATAAGAACACTCAGCTCACACAGTCACTGGAAGTGTCTTGAGGCCTTCTGATATATGAGAGGTCTTCGGAAACTTCATAAAATTCATATTATAGAAAAATTATGCATGCATTTCCAAATTATTTTTTTGCACCAAAGCAAACCTAACTGCTGATTCCACTTTGCTATGAACTCTTTGAAGTACTTTTAAAGTAATTGCTCACCTATAAGAAAGGATTGTTATTATTATGGAAGTGAATGATGTAAGCTGCTGAAAATAAGGCTGATATTTAGGTTAGAACTGATGCTTAGCAGCTGCATATGCAGACTTCAGTGGTAAAGGGATTGCTTAGCTATTTCAGGCAGATTCCACGTTTTCATAGGGGGTGGTACTGATCTAAGAAAAATCATATGTCTGTTGTTGGGGATAAAGATCCAAGATATCTTTGAATACTTTTCAAGGTGAGCAAAGGAGTGATCTTTCACATATTTTAAGGCAGTTTTTTTTTTAATACTGTTTTATTATAAATCCTTAAGGTGTTAGGCTTTTAGGTAGCTACAGATATTTGTATACTTAGAAATCTCAGAAATAGCAAACTCTGTTCAAATCGTGAGGCACCTACATCAAAACCTAGTACACAATTTTAATATAGTTTGGTTTGCACTGAAATTTGCAAGAGTGCAAGCTAAGTGTTCTCAGAGGAGTATGTGTTTAGGGGGTGGTATGAAAGTGTGAAAGGAAAGATCAAAATATAAAGGCTTAGTGTGAATAAAAATGAACTTTGAAAAATCAATCTGCAATGGAAATCCTTGACCACATCATCCTGACGTAAAACAGAGCTCCCATTCTACACTGTACTGCAAAATGACCTTGGAGAGTCTGCTCATTAGAAGAAAATGAATTTCACCCTCATTCTGCTGCTAATTAATTAAAACTGTTGCTTGGAAATTCCTTTATACCTTTCCCACTAAGTCTGTAATAGTCAGGGTTGTAAAGGGAACCCTTTTGGCTAGTGCTCAGCCCTTTTGGTTGCCACAGGAAACCCAGGGCATAGGTCACACAGCAAACAGAGCCCCAAGAGGCAGATGACAGGGAGCAGGCACACACGCTGTGATGTGAGAAGAAAAGAGAGAAAAAGAAGCAGAAGGGAAAACTTGAAAATAACCTTTTTAAATCTATTTTTGTGTTTTCAGTTCCTTTTTTTTTTTTTTTTTTAAAGCGGATGACTTGGCAGGTAGCTTTAAAAAAAAGTGCACCTGAATTTTCTTCCCTTTTATTTCTTGCTTTTTTTTTTTTTTTTAGTCCTGGAAGCGAAGACTCAAGCAGACAAGCCATCATCAACTCTTAGAAGGCTG